TGAAGATATAGGAATAAACTTGAAATACCTATGCTTTTATGCAACATCATACTGTAAAACGTTAATCGAAATTGATAAAAACGTACGTAATAACCTGGTCTACATATGCCGGTACAATTTGATAACTCTCGATTTGGTAATGTGATAGAAGGAAAACTGACGTTGGATTAAACCTGGTTTATATCCAGCGACGATAAAATTTGGTACAAAACATTCGTCGCACAGACATAACGAATTAAAATTTCAGGGAACATGGTTTTCTCTTTCTGCATCGACAAACTACGATTTTGCAAAATCGATATCGGTATAACAACTCGTTGGTGTACGGACAATTATGCGGCAGGCATTTCAATGTGCAGAAACTTATACGTACCACGTAGGTTACTTTGCGTTCTCACTTGTGAATAATTGAAGAACAGTATGCTATATTTCAATATTTTTGTATGTAACGTAGATAGTGGCAGTAATTACATATATCAATTACGGATGAATGCACAAAAATCATGGTATCGTGCCCATGAATACGGATACTGCAAAATGATCGGTTTAATATATAAATACATATGCGGACCAGCCATTCCAATGTACAGATACTTCTAAGAATCATGTAAATTACATTACACACTTATTTGTCGATAATTTAAGGTCGGTCTATGGTTCAGTCTTCTTCCGAGTATGTTCGAAAATGTCAGTAACTAAATAAATATATTATTTGCAATTAATTTCGAGACAATAATGGACTGGAAACGAAATGTACTTGAACGTCGGAAAGGCCGGTTTAATGTATAGAGACTTACAGGGACCGGCATTCCAATGTACAGATAATTACGAGGACCGGCCTTTTCAAGGTACACATCCTTACGAGGACCAGCCAATTCAATGTACGCATACTTATGGGAACCAACCATTTCAATATACTAATACTTATGAGAACCAATCGTTGCATTGTACAAATGCTTATGAGAACCAATGATTTCAATACATAAAAACTTCTATGGGCTAGTCACGTTTTTAGCTTTTTGTACTTGTACATCGATAATTGGAATTAGCTGTTCTTATAAGGCCGCAGCATGCAGAAACGCAAGAGTGCACCAAGTGAAAACGTACTTTAAGGGTATGTGCGTCGAATAAGATGTAAATAGTCATATATAAGTAAGTTGAAAAAGTAGTAATTGAAAACGAAGATGAATTGAGAAAGGAAATAGATATAAGGACAAGTGGGGAAATTTAAGCATGTTGCATATATGATAAAATTGAAATTTATTTTAAGGTACAAGATATTCGTTGCATAAACGTAAAATACAACGTAAACGTTAACTCTATATGTAAACATTGTCTTCTTTATTGTTATGTAATCACTGTTGAAATATTCTGAGCACTGTAACTCATTATTTCTTGTTTGCACTTCTATGCTGATTATGCATCCAAGTTTTTATGGTGGCAGAATTTCGATTCAAAACGCCTGGATGTGCTAGTTTTAGTTTTTGAATTTCTGCCAGCGATGGTAATGTCTTATTGGAGAAATGTTCTTTAAAAGCTGTCATAATTACTTCCTTCTCTGATGCAGTCCACCGTACACGGGTGCATTTCCCAAACGGCGATGCTGTAAGTAAAATAGAACACAGAGAGTAATTGATATAATTAACTGTATTTCATTTTAATATTTTCTTACTTGAACGTTTTCGCGGATTTTTTGAATTGCTTTCATTGCCTTTCATTGATGTGGATGAAATATTGTTACATACGTTGCCTTCGAATGAGTTGGACTGGTAGATAACAATAGGGTCTTGTTCTGATTCTTGGGCTAAGTCAAAAAAAGGCCGAATTGAGTAATGAGAAATAGATACGAGGTAAAGAGCAAAGCAAATATGGGAAAGTATGTACTTTCCGAAGTTTCTTCGATATCTCCTTCATTTTCGTCAGATTCGTAGTTGTTTCTGCCTTGAACAGCCTCTAAGACCTTCGAGACGTGGAGTATCTCTCTACTAAGTAGAGGCTGCTTATAATGAGATCGATGAATTTTGTCTGCATGACCCATGAAATTCGCAAGATCGGAGACTTGTTCATCTTGCAAATTGAAGTTCGTGGACATTGTCGCTATGTGTTTCCGTAATGTGGTCCCTCGAAGTGATTGTGGATTTTCTGCCCCACACTCTTCAGAAAATGTTCGCATTAAGTTGCATGCTCTAAGATACCGATAATCACCTTTTAACGTCCCAGGAATCCCAAACAAGTAAGGGTTTTTGGAGCTTACGTTTGCAAGTTGGCGGTAACTCAGAAGAAGTTGTAGAGCTTTAAGAGTTTCAGTATGCAATAACACCGGTACGGTTCGCCCGAGTTTACCTCTAATTCCAAATCGAACATACTTTTGTGCAGCTTTTTTATCTGCATCGGAAAATGTTTTGTAAGCTTCGCCAACAGTCTTTTCGCAAATTTTTTCCTGATTTTGAAAATCTTGAATCAATGTTCTTTCTATTTCTCCCGCTCTGCGGCGATTAAACAGCTGTATCAAAATCAAACTACTTTCAGCCAGAGCAAACCAAGCTTGTAGTGAGAATTTTTGCTGTAATAATTTTTGAGCTGTTTCGAGTCTAGTACGTAGAAACTGATGTAATTTTTCTATGTCGGCTTTTGATGGTAAAGCGACCTTTGTTTGTCTTTTCTTTTGGAACATACTTTCCGTTGCAGGTCGAGCAACCGCGGCCGAATAGTCTTCGGTTAACAATTTTAGAAAATCTTCGGTTAAAACTTGTTTTTGTTTATTATGCTTGCGAATCCACATAGATACCAATAGTTTACCAACTTGTTTGAGTAATGTACCGAGAGCAGTCGCCAACGATGGCACCTTAAAGCCGGTTCTTGATTCATTTAAGCCAGCTAAATTTTGGATAGCAGTAATACACGAGTCGTAATTTTTCGGATAAAAGACTGATTGAAGGTCATCGATATTATCATTTATTCTTTTCAATTCAAGAAGAAAGCGGCCAAGTTGTCGTAATTTCTGACGAATCATGTCATAATTCCGTGGATCTTGGTACTTGTTACAGAGTTTGTTTGCAAAAGAAATTGTAAGTTCATCATAACGAATAACCCGTGTCACACGATCGTCTGTTAACGTCGGAAACACTCGTGTGCGAAGAGTGTTACATGCGAGAGCATGTATCCGGCCTTCTAATTTCCGGGCACTCGAAAGAATATTTCTGCATCTTGTACTATCTCTCTTGCTACAAATCCTGTAGTGTCGATGAAGAGTTGTTTTTGAGTAACTGCCTTTGCATAATTTACATGTCGCATAATCGGTTGCGTTCTTAAAACAATTTTTATTTGGACGTCTTATCACTTTCAGTTCGCCGGTATTAATTTCTCTGTTGATATTGAAATGATACTGGCCTCGTTTACGAATCTTATTAATAACATCTTTTCGTTCCTTAGTTCCTTTCGGAAGATCGATAAATGATTGGACCTCGTGTTCATCGGCATGGTGCCGTGCTAGGTGGCGATATAATTTAGTTTGTTCGGTATTACAAAAAACGCAATAATCTTTTTTAATCCCTGAGTGTATGCTGTTAACAAACATTTTTTCGTTGTCTGGCGCACTATGCCCGACATTGCATGCTTCTATTGATAAGTCCAAAGCGGACGAATTCTTTGTGGAGTGGTTGCCATTATTTTGCGAAATTGCGTTTAAGACACCCGGCGATGATTGAACTTCTTCATTAGCCTCAATATAATCGTCAGATGCACACGAGGAATCGGGAATATATGATTTGTCAGTGCTGCTGCTATTGGAATTCGAACATCTGGTAGATTCATCATCTTTAGCTAAAATAAGAAAAATTGGAATGCTGGGTCATGCCTCGACGTTTATCATTGCATTGTATTCTCTAACCTTCTCGTATATTTTCTGAACCCGTCTTTGATGCAAAAGAATTAACTTCATTATTGACATCTGCTTTCTGAATCACGTTTACATTATCCTTTTCAATTTCAAACATTTGGGATTCTATTAATGGTGTGAGATCATCGTTTGTGTTGTATCTACAAATTAAATTATTCTCGCTGACAAATGTTTCAATATATTATATTCATTTATTAACTTAATAGTTTTTAATAATGTGTTGTGTAGTAGCAATTCAGTGGTTATATCCGATTACCGTTTAGAAGTAGAGCTCCCTGACAAATTGGAATTGATATTCACAGAATTATCAAATTCTGGTTCTAATACTGTGTTCAGTGTCGTTTGATCCCTTGTTCGTTTTGTATCTAAATTGTCACATCAAACGCATACAAAAATGATTTACATCAAATTTGTTAATATGAACCTACTATATTTTGTTACTTGAAATAATGAACCTAGCTCACGACCTTCATAACGCATGCAAACTATGAAAAGGGAGCTAATCGCATATAGAGATATCATCAATAATACCATTATTAATATAATCACTTAGAGGTACAATAAATAACTCTTGTAAATTATATGCAGTTTTATCAGGGTAGCACACATCCAAGGTGCAACTTTTCCAAGATGATTCCATGAAAGGCAACGCAATATCTGAAAATGAAACGAAGTTAAGAACAAGTATATGCGATGTACGGAACAAAAATGTTTAAAGGTGTGGTAACACTTCAGTTATTTTATCAATGAATAAAATAATTTTAAATGACAACTATCTGCTATTATTATTGTTATCATGCCTGGAAAATTGGGTTCTGCTTCTGAGCCCAACTCGCGATGTGGTACCACACTTATCAGATTGTCTGCAACTACACAAAACTCATGATCACTCGATGAGCCCGAATTTTGACAGTAAAAATCGGCCATTGATTGCATATCGCGCAGTTCGTTGCTCTCCGTAGAATTTTTTACATCTAAAGATTCTTCAGAACCAGTGTTTCCTGGACATTCCATTGCACGGTAATCATTTTCTGAAGACTTCTTTGTGCTACTTTCCTGGAGATAGTCGTTTCTCAAAGGTTTCTCGGTTTCGTCTGCTTGGATATGATCATTTTCACAGGAAAATTTCACCAAGGAAATTTCTGATTTACATGTGAATAAAAAGAAACGTGAACAATATAACAACGAAGTCATNTAAAGATATCAATAAGAAATGAATTACCCCTACACTGATAAAAATTATTTATAACCAATAAATATGTACAAATATAAATAAATAAATATACATAAATAAACAAGTACAAATACAAATAAAGAAGTAAATGTGGACAAATATAAATAATTTATTAAAACAAATTATGTTTCCGTAATGATTGATTTTACTGTAGACATGCACAAAGGATATTAATTGACCGAATTTGTAAAAATTCTTTCTTAATTATTTTCAAAATGATTTTCTGTAAATAATTAAATAATGCAATTGAAAAATGTAATTGAAGGAAAGGAAATGTCCAATTGTGAGAATTTTACATACCACGGGAACGGAGTTTTAGGCTCCTATTTTTTGGAAGCTTATTATTCTGTACTGATTTATTAATTTTTTTTGAGACTTTTTGAGACTTATGTTTATCTTCCAATGTAGCTTTGAGTTTCCGTAACTCCTCATAATTTGCTGTAAATCATTTAAAAAAAAATTACGTTCTGTGACAAATTTATGAGTCTATCATAAACTAACACTTATAAAATTTAATACTCAATCTGAAAGTTTCCGGCAATTAAATGTTATGTAAGTAAATATGTAAGGATAGTAATAAGAGTAAGTTTAAAAGGTTTCCATAAAACATAAACTGAAAATATGAAGTTTATCCACTTTAAGCTTAAATGAATTATTCTGAATAGAAAGGTAACCTGAAAAATGCTATCATAGATACTTAACCTTTTTGGTCAATGATTTCTGCTTCGTATCGTTTGCCATCTGAATATTTCACACTTACACCTCGTTGGCTTTTCTTGACATCACTTTCCTTACATAGGTAATAAATTCCATCAGAAAAAAGGACGAGAAAGAACATTCTTGATTTTTTTGCGAGACTCTATACTATGCTGCTAGGAATTCCGCACGAGTTTCCCCTCCAATGTCCCGCAGCACGACTTTCCCCCACTTCTCGTCAACTCCGCTCTGCCACTTAGTGCCGCTGCGGCCTCATAAGAACAGCTAATTCCAATTATCGATGTACAAGCACAAAAAGCTAAAAACGTGACTAGTCCATAGAAGTTTTTATGTATTGAAATCATTGGCCTTCATAAACATTTGTACAATGCAACGACTGGTTCCCATAAGTATTTGTATATTGAAATGGTTGATCCCCATAAGTATGCGTACATTGAATTGGCTGGTCCTCATAAGTATGTGTACCTTGAAAAGGCCGGTTCTCGTAACTATCTGTACATTGGAATGCCGGTCCCTGTAAGTATCTATACATCGAATCGGCCATTCCGACGTATACGTACATTTCGATTCCAGCCAGACATATTCTCGCATTTATTTGCATATATTATATTTATTTAGCTACTGATATCTTCGAACATGTTCGGAAGAAAACTGAACTATAAACATACCTTTAACAATCCACGACCAAGTGTGCAATATAATTTACGTGGTTCCCATAAGTATGTGTACATTAGAATGAGTGGTCCTCGCAGGTACTTATGCCACCATTTCGGCGTACACGTATGTACGGGTACCACAGTATAATTATTCCCAATCTTTCCGGCAGTGAAGTATTTCATTACTGTCCCTTTCCAACATATTTGCGAAAATACTGTACTACAGCTCTTCCTTAAATTATCCACAAACAGAAACGCAAAGTAACGTTTGAGGTTCTCACAAGTATTCGTATCTCCCATTTCCTCACTAAGCACTTTAGGTATAAGGAAACTTCGCCAGATATACTCTTGTTTCCCATTTCAATTACAAATATTTTTTAAATCCATTTTTTATACAAAGTGGAAATAAACTGTTTTTGACACAAATACGAGATTCATTCCTTTAAAAACTTTGATCGGATTTGTTTATAAATGTTATAATACATATTGTCCCGTGTAATACTCCCTGCCTACTCCAATACTCATAATCACTCTCAAAATCACGGGCTTGTAAAAATCAGCAAACTTTCAATTTCATCTAATTAAATAGAAAAATTAGAAACTAATTGTGTATACTCTGATATTATTCAACCCAGTAAGAGCCCATACTGCGAAACCGCAGATATTATATATTACGTCTCCGAAAATGCAGATTGACATAAACAAAGAGGTCCCGTAAGGTGCGGTT